TTCACTAGGACCCTACTCTTGGCGCCACATATTTGAATTATTGCATCAAGAAGGCTGTAACAGAAAAGATGTCCATGAGAAAGTAATGTGAAGCCAATAGGCAAAAACGAGAATGACTGGAAACGACCATAAAATCATCAGGCTACTGGCAGCTGGGGAACTTCCACACGCCAAGCAAATCAACTGCAAGGAAATATTAGAGGCTTGAGATGAAGAAAAATACACCCGAATCCGTAATTGAATTACACAAGCCTCGCTGCATGGAGAACTCTGCTGGTCACCAGGATGCGAAGCAAACGCTGGGTTACCAGACGCGCATTTATCAGCCACAGTGATTTATTGAGTGCTCTAATAATACAAGTGTACATCAACTGATCCACAGTCAAAAGTGGCAGGTCCCTAAGAAATTTACAAGCACTTTAAGTAAATCAAAATACATTATTATTTTGTTCAATCCAGCAGTCTTCTGTGTGGGGACAGAAGGCTAGTGATAAACAGAGTCTCAGTAATGCACAGTGATTCTGATTGAAGCTTTTGTACAAAAATCTGGTTCCTAGTAGCATGCACCCACCGATAAAGACTTCAGTACAAAAAAACTTAACCCTAAGCATTACATTGAAGTAGAAACGAGATAGAATTCTGAATTCATGTTTTCCCGAAGATCACAGGAAGGGAAAAAGGATCCAAAGAAAACGAACAACAAAATAACAGAACCACACAGGAATACGAAGCTTTGAAAGAAAGCTCATATTATTACAGATCTGACATTGTTTGCACTGAAAACAAAAGTTCCCATCCACGTGGAGGTGGGATTAAAAAAAAAACAAACCCAGATCTTTCAAGTTAATAGAAATTAAACAGGGAATAAAACGGGAAGGGGTGGGGGGCAAAGGAAAGGGAGGGTGCGGGATGGATGACATTCCATCACAAAACGGTTCAAAAGGTGATAAAAATAAGACAAGCAGAGCCGAGGTGCGGGGCCCCGATGCACTTGGTGAGTGTGCCGCGGGCCAGGGCCCTATGTGGCGTACCGCTTGGTCCACTGCCTGGCCATCCGGTCGTGCTCCGCCCTGTTGGTCATGTACTGTGTGGCGATGCTACCCACCAGCGGGTCAGCTGGAAAGGAAGCAGAGTCAGAAGTCAGTCAACGCAAGCAGCTTGGCCTCTTCAAAGCCGGGGAAGAGAGGAGTGTCTGGAAAGCTGGCCCTGGCTCAAGGCGTGGGCAGGGAGGCGAGATGCTGCACCCTGGAACAAGGTCACCTTCGCCATGACCTGCAAGTGACCTGCCCCGGAGACCGCATCTCACCCCCGCCGCCCGAGGAGCACCTACCTGTGCTCTGACTGCTGCCTCTTGTCACGTCTCCGGACGAGCGTGACTCTCTCTGTCCCCACCATACATATGCTTCTCCCCCTCTTCCTCCCCTGGTTTTCAGGTAGATGTTTATTTCACAGAGAAGATGCAGGTGCGCTGTGGGCGGGGCCTGCAGGGTCCTGGATACGATCCCCTGGGGGAAGGGGGCGGGGGAAGCCTGGCCAACTCCCTGACCTGGGTTATTGCCCAGGCAGGGGTCCAGCAGCAGGTTAGTGACACAGGGCGACAGGCTGCTTCTGCCTCTATATTTGGGAATATCAAAGCCACAGAGCTCTCTACTACATAAACAGCGATCGATGTTAGTCACAGCTAACCCTCACTGACCTACCACGTCCTAAAACTTTAACACGGGAGGGCTGGCACGGGATGAAGCTGCAGCCTAAGGATGGGGGTCGTCAGGGCTGGAGCTGGGCCCTGACTGCAGGTCTCCCGGGACACTGCTCCACCCAGACGGGATCAACGGTTAATGAAAACAATTCAAAGCAACTACAAAAAAAATGTAATTTAGGTTTCTGGAGATCCCAGAATCCACCCGTCTCCCTCCATTCTCTAATCTCACTTCTTCCCTGAGTTTTATTTCCTGTATTTTTGGTGTCGAGAATTTGAGTGTATTAGAGCACGTGGATAAGAAAGAACCAAAAGGGAAAAGGAAAAATATTAGCAAAAGCTAACGTTAAATATGAAAAAAAGAAAATAGGTAAAGAATATGGAAGTGGGTTTGTGGTCTACTATCACCTCGTAACTCGGGAAGATCCTGAGAGTCTGCTAAGACCCAGTAAGACATTCAAGGTCACACCTTCGCAATAACCAAGGTATAACAGGAAGACCACCTTTTAGTGATCTGCTGATGCTGAGGATAACAAAGCTTGTGAAAGTCCTCCCGACAAGACTTTGCTTTTATTTTTTTAATTTTGTTACAGTTCTAACATTATATTACACCACTTTTTTTTTTTTTTTTTTTTGCGGTACGTGGGCCTCTCACTGTTGTGGCCTCTCCCATTGCGGAGCACAGGCTCTGGACGCGCAGGCTCAGCGGCCATGGCTCACGGGCCCAGCCGCTCCGCGGCACGTGGGATCTTCCCGGACCGGGGCACGAACCCGTGTCCCCTGCATCGGCAGGCGGACTCTCAACCACTGCGCCACCAGGGAAGCCCACACCATGTTTTTTTGTTTGTTTGTTTTTTCTTTTTTGTTTTCTGGCTGTGCTAAGAGGCTTGTTGGAACTTAGTTCCCTGTCCAGGGATCCAACCTGGGCCCCCTGCAGGGGAAGCGCCAAATCCTAACCACTGGACCGCCAGGGGAGTCCCCAAGACTTGCTTAAGTTTTAACAAACCTCACTAAAGTTTTCTTGGACTTGTGCTAAGTTTGTTACAATTATTCTAGGGAGAGGCCAGTTTCTTATATTCACTTACATCACAAACAATGATAGTCAATGGGTGTGTTCGGAATGTCTGCCTCTCTGCCTACTCTGTGATTCTTGTCCTTCACTTGCCAAATGGTGAAACTCTATCACTTCAACTAACCGAGCCAGGGTTCAAGATGATTGAAATCAGCAGTACCACATGTAGACACTAAACACCTGGGATTGGCAAGATATTTAAAAAAAAATGTTGTCTTTCAGTTCAGACTATAGAGTCTAAAAAGGGCCAAAGACAGGTCTGAGTCACATTTCTCTACCTTTGAAACAAATCATCTTGTTTCAATTTCTGGAATGCAAAGCCTTAGGGCGGAACTTGGGCACCTTCAACAGAGCTTACATCTACATCCCTCAAGACAGCTGTTTGGTTAAACACACTCTACATTAGTGATGTGCGCTAAAGAGCCATCTGTACTTCCTGACTTAACTGGTCGAGGTAAAGGACAGGTTTAATGTCAGAAGAATGACCAGTGACATTAATGTTCTAGTGCAAATCTACCCTCACTGAGAGTGGGCATACTGGGAACAAGAGTCTGCTGTTTCAGCTCAAAGGAGGGAGAGGGAGAAGGAGACAGTGGGGTGGGAAAAGCATCTATACTATTTCAACAGGGGCAGAGGGGAAAACCTCAAAAACACGGTAGAGTGTTATTGATAAAACTCACATGCGTTGTGCAGACATTTTTTGGTACGCTTAAATAATTAGCAGTAAATTCCTTTGAGTTCCTTTTATAATACCTTTTCAAGTTCGATTTTGAAAAGAGAAATATTTTTCCATCTGCAAAATTATACATGCTAAATATAAAAATAATAATTAACAATTTCAAAAAATCACCTCACACAGTACACAGGACAGAAAGTTGTAAGTGAAAACCGTTTGCAAATTCACTGAGAGAAGTACTGTTAACATTTTGACTTACATCTTCCCAGACTTCTTTTCTAAACATACAATTAAAAAAAAAGATCATAGTCTGCTTTTGGAACCTTTTAAAAAACTCACTGTATGGTGAATAACTTTTTATATCAATAATTATATCCTACTTGATCATTTTTATTTGATTTAATTTTTTAATTGAAGTATAACTGACTTATATTACTATATTAGTTTCAGGTGTACAACACAGTAATTTGACAATTTTATAGATTATACTCCATACAAAGTTCTTATAAAACACTGACTATATTTCCTGCGCATCATTTAAAATATTAACCTGAATTAATAACCAGTCTTCTGTTTAGAGACATTTGGGTTCTTTCCTTTTTTTTTTTTTCTGCTTTATAAACAATGCTGTGAAGAACATTATTGTGTGAGCATCTTTGTAAATTTATGCAAATCTTAAATTTAAAGTGTTAACGAAGGAATAAAGGTATAAAATGAAGGAATTTAAAAGTCATGTGTTATCAATCAAATAGTTCTTAAATGCTAAAATGTTTTGTTGAACAGAAAAAAGTTAAGACTACCAGTAACTGAATAGAAACTATGCAATAAATGTATATCCAATGATCATTGCAGTGAGTTTAGTGGAATGAGATACTCCTTTTGTAGTATATTTATAATTATGACTTGAAGTAAGATTGAATCTTGTTATTGGGTTTCACATTTCCTGGATACAGATACGCCAGGGATGAAATAACGATGACGGGTGACACATCTTCTTCCTCCTTCTCCTCTACTTTCCTGTCTGACCTCTGCTTCCCTACACAGCGCCAGGCGCCTGAACAGCAAGCACGGTTATTTGCAAGTGAGTGAAAGGCGATCTCAGTGCTCTGCCCCCTCCCCTTTTTTGGAGATTCGTGTTACGTGCACCTTTGATTCCAGAAGAGAAAGGCTCAGGCGACTCCTGCAACCCCATCTGAAGGCTCACCTCTCCGTGACGGGGGCTATACTGGAAACACTGGAAACCAGAAGGGTTCACAGCCCGTCCAGGAAAGGAGGGAGACAGGGAGAACGGACTTGAGGATATGGGGAGGGGGAAGGGTGAGCTGTGACAAAGCGAGAGAGAGGCATGGACATATATACACTACCAAACGTAAGGTAGTTAGCTAGTGGGAAGCAGCCGCATAGCACAGGGAGATCAGCTCGGTGCTTTGTGACCGCCTGGAGGGGTGGGATAGGGAGGGTGGGAGGGAGGGAGACGCAAGAGGGAAGAGATATGGGAACATATGTATATATATAACTGATTCACTTTGTTATAAAGCAGAAACTAACACACCATTGTAAAGCAATTATACCCCAATAAAGATGTTAAAAAAGAAAAAAGAAGACTAAAGGGGGTAAGAAGCAGCTAAGTGGTTAGAGGGAGCGGAGAACGAGGGGCAGATGGCCGAGCTGCCCAGTGATTCCATTTGCAAGGCCAAAGAACATTCTCTCTTGGTTTGGTAGGTGGTATGGGAGAAATCACATGGCAAAGAAATGCTGACTCCCTTTTCTTAAGACAACACATATATTCTCAAAGAAACACAAACAAAACCAGTCCAGTATGATGGAAAAGGGGGTGCGCTCCGGGTCCAGACTGCCTGCCTTTGTACCTCGGTTCCACCGATAACTGTGTCATGTCAGGCAAAGGACTTAACTTCTCCGTGCCTCGGTTTTCTCAACTGCAAAATGAAGCTGCTATAGTTGTTGCTGTAAGAATGAAATGAACTGATTATTGTCAGGCACATACAAAACTTCTGCTATCATTTTCAAAATGAAGACAGGAAAATGAATATTCATGTGCACCTTAAAAGAAATATAAATCTTATTGTCCTCTTGAAGACATTCTCTTCAGATAAAATCCATAAAATCCAAAGTCTTTAGCATGTAATTATTAGAGAAATGCAAATCAAAACTACAATCACCTCACACCGGTCAGAATGACCACCATCAAAAAATCGACAAACAATAAATGCTGGAGAGGGTGTGGAGAAAAGGGAACCCTCTTGCACTGTTGGTGGGAATGTGAATTGATACAGCCATTGTGGAGAACAGTATGGAGGTTCCTCAAAAAACTATAACTAGAGCTACCATATGATCCAGCAATCCCACTACTGGGCATATATCTGGAGAAAACCATGGTTCAAAAGAATACAGGCACTCCACCGTTCACAGCAGTACTATTCACAATAGCCAAGATGTGGAAGCAACCTAAACGTCCATTGACAGATGAATGGATAAAGAAGACGTGGTACATAGATACAATGGAATATTACTCAGCCATAAAAAAGAAAGAAATAATGCCATGTGCGGCCACATGGATGGACCTAGAGATTATCATACTAAATGAAGTAAGTCAGACAAAGACAAATATCATATGAAGTCATTTCTATGTGGAATCTAAAATATGACACAAATGAACTTATCTATGAAACAGAAACAGACTCACAGACACAGAGAAAAGACTTGTGGTTGCCAAGGGGGAGGATGATAGGGGAGGGATGAATTAGGAGGCTGGGTTAGCAGAGGCAAACTATTATATATAGAATGGATAAACAACAAGGTCCTACTGTAGAGCACAGGGAACTATAGTCAATATCCTGTGATAAACCGTAATGGAAAAGAATGTGAAAAAGAATCTGTGTATATATATGTAACTGAATCATTTGCTGTACACCTGAAATTAACACAACATTGTAATGCAACTATACTTCAATAAAATAAATTAAAGAAAAACAAAACCAACAAAGTCCTTAGCATGGCTCCCAAGAGCATCATGATCTAGACCTAATCTTTCCAGCCTTCTCCACCCATGCTTTAAACCAGAATCAACAACTCGCAGCTTCTCCAATAAGCCCTCCAATAAGCTCTCTGCACCTTTGCTTCTGCGACGTCCTTTGCCTGTTGGGCTTCTACGAATTTCTCAACATTTAGCTCAGGCATAGCCTCCTTGGGGATGCTTCTAGGGGCTTTGTAGCAGGCTTATGTGTCCCATTTCTGTTTTGTCTGTTCGCACCTCTATCACTGTGCTGAGAACGCTGCCTTTTAGTTGTCTGTCTGCTGTACAGTCTACATTTCCCATGGGGCTGGAGCCCACGCGTTCAGTCATTCGTCAACTATCACTGAGTCCCTACTATGTTCCAGGTCCTGCAGAACTAGTGCTAAATAAGCAAACTCCTGCCCTCATGGGACTCTGCCTGGGTCCCTCTGTCTCCGTTTCCCTCTCGTTAACCCCATGTTTACTGCGATGTATGAATGGATAGAAGAACGTAAGACAAGTAAGTAAGGAACACACAAAATAACAGCCAGAAAGAGCAGTTACTCCATAAGGCAGGTGTCCCTCTGTAGCACTATATGCTGGCTCATCACAGAAGTTTCTTCTCTACACACGACTAGCAAGTCAGTAAAGGGGACCTGATGGAGCGTGTGACAGCTTTCTTGTCTTTTCTCTTTATTTTTAAACTTATTTATTTTTTAATTTTTTTGTATATAAGCAGGAATCCTCCCTCCCTCCCTCCCTTTCTGGCTGCGTTGGGTCTTCGTTGCTGTGCACGGGCTTTCTCTAGTTGTGGCGAGAGGGGGCTACTCTTTGTTGCAGTGCGCGGGCTTCTCATTGTGGTGGCTTCTCTTGTTGCGGAGCACGGGCTCTAGGCTCACAGGCTTCAGTAGCCGTGGCACACAGGCTCAGTAGTTGCGGCTCGCGGGCTCTAGAGCGCAGACTCAGTAGTTGTGGCGCAGGGGTTTAGTTGTTCCGCGGCATGTGGGGTCTTCCTGGACCAGGGCTCGAACCCATGTCCCCTGCACTGGCAGGCGGATTCTTAACCATTGTGCCACCAGGGAGGTCCTAACTTAATTATTTTCTTATTGAACTTTGCGGTTAGCACTTTGCCATTTCTTGGATTCTTCGAGGCTATAAACCACCGCTTCTCCAGCTGTCCCACCATCCCCATGATGAGCACTTGCTCACCAAGTCACTGGAGGCTTTCTGTGGGTCTGCCTTGCCACGAGGAACAGCTCTTTTTTGTGTCTTTCATGGAACTTTTCTTCCATGGTTTGGTTTAGCCTAGTTTTATTTAAATCTTTTATAAAATTAAAAAGTAATTGATGCTTATTATAATAAATTCAAATAAGAAAGAAGCATGTATGATGTAAAGAATACGATCTTCTTCCCTTCAATTTCCCACCATCTCAAGGTAACTGCTGTTAATGGTTGGATGCTCACTCCTCCAGACTGTTTTCTTTATTTATATTTAAACCCAATGGGAATCACATGGTTCTGCAACTTGCACTTTCCTCTGGGCCAATATACAGTAGTTGTGTTTCTAAGATACTAGAAATAGACCTAGCTTACTATTTTAAATAATTATAGGGCATTCCTTTGCACAGTTATTCAGCTTTCATTTTTCCATCCCCTACTGATGCACATTTATTGATACATTAGATTTGATTTTTTGCGATCAGGACTAGTATTACCATCTTGTGTACATCTTTGAGCATAGGTTTGTGTCGTGCTGGAGGGTAGATTCTTCTAGGTGACAGTATTGGGCCAGAGAGTACAGTACACATTTAAACTTTTTGCCAAATACTGCCAAACGGCCCTTCAATAAAAGGATGTACAGTTTATCCTATTTCTGGACATTCTCCCTAACACTGCATTACCAATCTTTAAAAATTGTTTTTGTCAAGGTAACCAAAAAAAAAAAAAAAAATCCCTGTCGTTGTATCTGGATATAATTTGATGTCTACTGAGGTTTAACATATTCTTATGTTTGTTCACCAACCATTTGTATTTCTTCTCCTGTGACGTGCTTGTTCATGCCTTTTGCCTATTTTTTCCTTACTATCATGAAGGAGTATTTTATATATTATAAATATTAAGCATGCACTGGAAGTTCGGCTTTGGCCTCAGTATTCAGCCAAAATTGCTTTAGTCTTTGGAGGACTGAACAGACAAATGCCTCCTTTGATGTTATTTTGAGCTTTGCTGAACTTGTGGAGATCAAAGATCAGGTTACCATCATATTTAATAAATACAGATCATCTTTCGGATTATTACTAATATCTGAAGACTGGTTTTTAAAATATTGCTAAGCGTGATGAATGTTAACTTGGGACTGAAAACCTCTTTCAGTTGAAGACAAACAATATGACATACAAGGAAAAGATTTGGAACCGTCTTCACATGTATTCACACAAACGCTCAAAGTGAGATGGGAGCGCAGCTATCGTAAGGGAGAAGGCTTCTGGCACAAAACAGGCCTTACGATTGTCCACTGCAGATACCAATACTGAGAGTAAAGCACTTGTAACAACCAGCGGCTGCTGGCAGAGAAAGTAGTGCATCCAATGATTGTGTGAGTCAGGAAGTGAATGCAAACACATTAGAGATAAAAATGTGAGGGCAAAAGGCTTCTGTTGGCTTCTGAAATACCCAGAAGACATCGTCTTTAAGCATTTTGCACACAGCTCTGGTTTGTGGGAGGACCTGCAGGGACACTGCACCGTGATCCCCGTGAGCCAAATCTTTTAAGTCTAGGGGGTGAGGAGGTAAGTCTTCACCTTTCTGTTACCATTAGAGAAAAAAGAAAGCTTATTGACCTCATAGCAAAATCTCCACTAAGAGTAACCCACAGTGGGATAGACAGCCAAAGAAAAACATGCTTTTCATCAGGCGAAAACATCTAAGTCTTGCAAGTGTGCAGAGGAGTCTCCTAGCAGCTGGCAGTGCTAAGAAATTATACTGTGACAAACTTTAAAAACATATCTAATTTTTTTCATGAAATTAAAAAAAATTTTTTTTTGGCCGCTCAGCTTGTGGGATCTTAGTTCTCCAACCAGGGATTGGATTGAACCGGGGCCACGGCCGTGAAAGCGTGGAGTCTTAACCACTGGGCCACCAGGGAGTTCCCTCTAATTTTTAATAATAATATTATAGTATTACTTAAATTCTTAAACTAAAATTTCATATTTATTCTTGTATCTCAGAAGATCACTTTACGGTGGGAACATTCAGCATTGCCTTAGGTTGTTTATTGATTTTAATGCTTGCTGTTCAGTATTCAGCCAAAAATAAATTCAGTGCACCTCTAAGGAAAATACTATTTATCTATTATATGTGGAGGAAATATTTTCTCCCAGTCTTTTGTCCTTTAACTTAGTTTATAATGTCTCTTGCCATTACAAGTTTAACGTTTTTCAGTACTTAAATAAGTCAATCTTTCCCTAGTATTTTTTAGTGTGATGTCATGTGTATTTGACAAAGGCCTTCTCCACTCCAGTATTTCAGAAGTATTCTCCTACATTTACATACAGTAACCGTCTGTGCAATGCTAGCTTTATCACACAGACGATTCCCATATGTATCTGGACCTGATTCTGTACTTGATATTCTTGCATTCGATTAATTTGTCTTTTGCTTTATTTACTCCTATTTTCTTGCTACTGTCTTACAGTATGTTTGATATCTGGTAGGATAAGTTCTCACGCGTCCCCATTTCTTTCCTTCACTAAAGTTTTACTTGGAGAACTGTAATCTTGAGGCTGAGATTTGGAGCAATGAAAGCTAGTTCACCCCAGGGTATAGGAATTTCATGTCTCTTTGAAGAATGTTATCAAGATTGAGGAATGACTGAATTCCTCAGGGTCTACTAATTAAAAATCAAGTGAGTAGGACAAAGTTAAGGTTTTTTTGTAGTTTGGAATGTGGGGAA